TGATACAGAATGGAATTTTCAGCATTAATCACAATATTGCATCTAATTTCCTCAAATTATGAATAAAATTAATCACACGGAAAATTTTTCACATGTACAATAGGGGTAATGTCAAAAAAAATGGAAATAATAATGATAACAGCTAAGGTAATGATAGTAATAATACAAGTGAAAATTGCTGTGGGCTTGTTTCACACAGTATTATCGATGCGATATACAAATCCTAGCATGTTTAAAAATATTGAATATAATGTTCTCTTTACATGATATGGTGAAGGGAGAAACAAAGATTACAGCAGTCATAGAGATAAGTTGGTGTTTGCAATTATGAAAGTAAAAACAAAAAAGCATCAGGACCATAAATATAATAGAAATAATAAAAGTACAACTTGAAGGTATATGAGGATAGATGTAGGAAATTGTTTACTTACTAGATCAAAAGAGGTTAGTTAATTCTTGCCTGACACTATTTACATCACATAAAATACGTGTCAAGTATGGTATCATAGAATTTTTATACTTAGACTTGCGAGCATACAGTTTACTGAAGTTACTTCTTGTTCTACCTGAGGAGATGCAAGGTGAAAGCTGAGGGCGAAGTGGATGCTCCAAGTCAGACAAAATCCCTTCAGCAAATTTACTGCACGAAGTCAAATGCCTGTCGACAACGATGTTATCTATGTGGTCCACTGGGACACCACTCACCCTACTGACTGCCAGTCTTCAGCATTCTACGAATTGTGACAAAGTCCTTTTTAAGCAAACCAGGAAAAAATAAGGGTGAACAATAAAGAAGAATAGGTAGGATGCAAGAGTTTGCGAACTATAAGAGGAGGGGTTGAGTTATACCCGATTGCCTTAACTCCTTAATGTAAAACGTCTGGCGGAATATTTTACTGGAGATCGCTAAGACATGGGGAGACCAGGAGAGATCAGAAGAGAGAATAAGTCCAAGATACTTAATTTCTGATTTAATTCCTATATCACTGTCATCAATCTTACAACTGTCAACAACAACAATAATCTTTTAACTTTCTTTTACATCTTAAGCTGAAATTACCAGTTTGACATTTAGAAAGATTCATTTTAAGACCGTTAGACTCAGACCATTTACTGACTCCCAACAGAAAGCTATTTATTTTGGTACAATCTAGCTGGAAGTTAACAGCCATTGAAACTGTTAAATCATCAGCATACTTCACGAAGTTTATTTCATCAGAGTGAGGCAAGTCTTGTAAGAAGAAAGGAAAAAGAAAAAAGAGAGGAAAGGACAGCGCCTTGCGGGACACCAGCTTCAGTAGGCAATGAAGTGGAAGACTTCCCTTTATACATAGTGTACTGCTTTCTTTCTGAGAAATAGGCAGTACCTAAATGCTCAAAAATTATTCCTCATTTCAAGTGATGCTTTGTATGAGTTCAATCGATTGTAAGTTAGATCAGGGTAAGTGGTGTCAGCATTTTCAATCTCTGTTAACCTTTATCACTGAATAAAGTGTTAGAATAAAAATAGTATGAATTATCAAAAGGCTAAAATCACCAGCTTGATGACACATTTTTTTCCTCAAATAAAACTTTGACCTTAGATTATTGTTGAATTTTTTACAAGATGAGAAAAATGAAATTCATTAACCTTTGATAGCGAAGTTATATCGACAAAGTCCACTTGATATTACAAACATAAAGCGTAATAAACAATATATCACTGTTTGTAAAATGATACCTAACTTTAAATTATAGAGAGAAGATGAGTATAGTGGAATAAAACTGTACTAGCTAGCAGCGTTCAAACTGATAGTTATCGATTAACCATATTGACTTCCAAAAGGCCTTCGACAACGTTGACCACGAAGCAGTTTGGAGACCATTTCAACACTCTGCTAAGTCTTTGCAGTAAAGACATAAGTAAAATGATGCTAACTTCTATCACCGATGTTATTCCTGACTGCAGTGGATTCGATGATGCGGTACACTGTGAGTGGGAAGCGAGAAGACGGGAATACGTCGGGACGATAAGACGAAGAACTTTGCCGATGATTTATGTCTAATGTCACGTAAATTCGAAAACTTACAGGCAGGATGTGCACACACCAAAGACAAGAATTCAAGTAAACAACATAGATACGATGGAGGTGATGAAAATAACCAACCAACCCAGAGAAACAGGAAGCACTGAACAATATCAACGAAGGAAACCTGAAAGAGGTCACTTCCCTCACTTGTCTAGGAACCATTGTTTCAACTACAGATGGTGAAACGGATCAGCATCGGAAAGGCAAAACGGGCATTCATCACCCTGAAACCAGTGTAGAAATCTTCTACAATCAGTATAAAGAATAAGATTTGCATTTTCCGAGCCAATGTTAAATCAGTCAGTTCGTCCATGTGGGTCAGAGTGTTGGCACCCACGTCAACAAAAGCATTTCGGAAAGACTTCAGACTTTTACTAACACATGCCTTCGTTACATATTGAAGATCGAAAGGCCATTCAGAAAGAATCAGCAGCAAGAAACTTTTGGTTCATGGATAATCCTCATCCAGGCATTAGTGAAAACAAACTACGCAGTTCAGAGAAGAGTCTCTTTCCGGCGAATTCATTTTCTTAGCTGTAAAATCGCAAATATATATGTGTTATTTTGTATGCATGTGTACAACAAAAACACAATTGGTTATGGCTATTTTAACTAAACAGGTGAAGATTGGTAATGGGAACAAACTAACCTAGATCCTATTATTCAATATTTATGTAGGAGAAAATGGAGGTGGATCAGGCACACATTCAGCAGACTACTGAGTGACATCGGGTACCAAGCCATTGGATAGGACCCGAATAGGAAGCGACGAGTCGGTCGAGGGTTTGAGGATGACGTGGAGAAGATCGTGTAAGCAGGAGGTGACAGCTTACGGTCAGTCATAGAACCAGCTAAAGATGTACAGGTGTACTGTTGAAGCCTTAAGTTCCAATCGGAATCCAAGGGCGCGACAACATTTGACGCCAACATCTTAAGTATGATATAGCATAAAAGCAAGTACATTGTCTTTTCTGTTTGCAAATGACTAGGGAGTACTATTACAACGATCTTTTTCTAAAAAAGTAAACTTCAGATAATTCGCTAAATTTTAACACACCAAAGGGATCGTGTTTATGGGAAGAATTTAATCAGATTAAAATGCAATTTTCGATATTTGAATATGGCGCTTGTTTTAAAAAAAATTCTTTTTCATACTAATTGAATTATTAAAACAAAGTGGTGGAACTATGTCGATTGAACATTAAATTACTGATGATAACAGAGAAGATCGATTGTAAAATAAGTTATAAAATGAATGATTATTTGAAATTACTGTATCATACCAAATTGAATTATTTTGTGGTTTATCCATATGAAGAGAAGATATGGATGTATTTTCTCGCCAAGTGACTGGAGCGAAGTGCTTGGTCTCATATCGGCTGCTTGTGCAGATGCTTCGACGATGTCTGGTCCCAAATAGGACCAAACTGAGTTCCAGCCTTGGTGGGAACACCATCACTCACTGGAGAATGTAGGCACATCCAGATGATGAGTCCCAAACAGGACGGAATGCGCATCGTGGATTCCACACTGCTAGTCACCATCCACCAATTGAGTTCAAGAATATATGATGTGTTTCAAATAAGCAAGCGAAAAAACGGGTATATATTAAACGAAACCCTTCATTTGAAGTTGCCTCCATTCGCTTGCAAAGAATAAAAGTCGAACGACATTAAACATCATCTGCACATATAAGGAAAAGTCCTCTGGCGCTTTAATTACTGTAGCCCGTATCCCCAAAGGTGCCGTTCCAACTCCTTTTCTGTCTTCTTTCTTCTTGCACTACTTAAGTGATTCTGATGAAGCCAATTTAGTTTAGTTTGTCGGTCACATTTCAATCAGATTGTTTCAAAATAAACATAATACTTTTATCACAAATTAGTCATTAGTCGGTGTTGAATATTCATAAGCTAAATCCCTGAGAATGTCAGACAATTTCACTTTCAGACACAAAACGTGATTTACAAGAATTGGTTCGTTCCCGTAATTCTTGCACCATAAAATGCAGTGAAAGTTAGATGCCTTGAATTATGTCTTTCCTCTGACCTTTCTTGGTGTTCCACATCGCATTTATTTCTAGAAAGATACTATGCCTACTAAAATCGACCTGATGTGGTCTGAACACAGGAAACTGATCAGTGCATCCTACGGTATAGCTGATCGAAGTTTCCTTGAGATATGTACTGTCACAAAACGCTCCAAGGACAATAGGATGACAATTATTCGTTCTCAGTATCTATGTGTGGTTCTATACAACAATATTGACATAAAAAAATAAAAATTACCTCGACAGTGCCGTGAGGCAGCTTTACAGACAAGCTGATTTTCTAAATACAAAGCGAGTTACTTAGAATCAAGTAGAATGTTTTCAACAATGATGGGATCAGAAACTCTATTGGACCGAAGTTCTCGATCTCAGTTCGACATGCCGGCTTCTTGTGCAGAAGCTTTGACGTTGTCTGGGTATGTAATTAGAGGTTAACTGGTGGATGGTCACTAGCAGTGCAATCCAGGATGCGCATTTCGTCCTATTTGGGACTCGTCAACTAGCTGGAAGTACCTGCATTCCGTAATGAGTGATAATGTTCCCACTGTTGCAAAAGAGGTGTATCTCGTGGCCCCAGTGGCCTATTGGATGACGCTTTGGTGTTTGAAACTATGGGCGCTGGGTTTAAGCCTCGGTGGGGACATCATCACTCACTGGAGAGTGCAGGCACATCCAGATGATGAGTCCAAAATAGAACAAAACGCTCGGTATCCTGGATTCCACTGCTTTTCACCATCAATCAATTAACTTCTGTGTAAAGGTATTAAAACAATGTGTGATATCATTCAGTCTCGACTTTCAAAATTTGTTAATTCTTGTATTCTACTTGTTCTTTTTTATTGCTCCCCCCCTGCCATCACACTTTGAACTTTCTCTTGTTTTAGATGGGTGCAACAGAATCCTTCTTGACAGCAGTCTGTGATGAAATTACTATATTCAATATTAACAAAAAGAAGTATTTTAGAGAAGGATTAACATTTAGCTTTCTAATGGTTTCATTTCTACTTTCAATTCCTAACGTTTGTCAGGTAAATAATATTAGCAGTTATTATTACTATTATTATTGTTCTAAAATTTACTACTAAATTTTCAAGAGTCGGTTTGTAAGGACTGGATTTGTTTTTTTACGGGTTTGACCACGGATTGATATCATGTGGAGAATCATTGAAAGCCAGCACTGGAGTACTGGCCAACTGTTTCATCCTTGTTTTTGGGAATCATCTGCAGTACGCCACCCATCACAGGAGGTTCGAACCCAGGACCTTCCGATAACAAGGATCCGATTCAGTGGCCCATGAATTCTAACTTCCACCAATATGTGATATAAAAACCTTTTCAACGTAAATGTACTTTTTGTCATATACACTGGTCTATAATATTCTTCAAGGAGAAAAACCCCGCTTGTCCTAAACGTTGACTACTCTTCAGATTCTTCCTAAACAGCTCTGTGCAAATTACCTGAAAATATTTCTGAAACCGGCTATCAAGTAATTAAAACAAGATGATTTTGAGAGAACAACTGTGGTTTCGATAAATTCGTCCTCAGGCCCTACAGTTATAAATCCATGAATATTCTAATACAAATAGCCATTACAGGCATATGAAAATTATATCGGAAACTGTATTGTTGGGGTACATATCATAAAGAGAATAAACGACGAATCAGCGAAGAAAATTTTCTGTATCGTCGAAATCATCTTCACAGGTTGTATAGTCGTATTTACATTTACCAAAAATGTATAGTAGTCAGTTACTGAGTAATAGGGGGGCGGGGTAACATAAATGATATAATTACTCAGAAGTGGCTTTGAAATAAGAATGGTACAAAGGAATAAAGCGTTAGACATTTGATAAGGTTAAAATTGCTATTGAGTGAGAATAAAGGTAGTTGAGTGTCAAATTAACAAGTGTGAAAAGGGTATGAAAATGTACAAAAAGAACATATGAGAGTGATAATAGTGAATTAATGTTCCTTTTGCATATTTTCACACTTATTAAATTGACACTCAACTACCTTTATTCTCACTAAATAGCAATTTTAATCTTATCAGATTTATAACCCGTTGTTCTTTTGTGCCTTTGAGTACTACTATTTAATTTATAACTTTTATATTTACTTCTAAGGCCACTTCTGAGTAATTATATCAGTTATGTCACCCAGCCCCCTATTACTCAATAACTAACTACTATACATTTTTTGTACATCTGATGCTCACTGGCGACAGGCCCAATTCAGGCAGTTGACCTGGCACTCTAGTGGGAAGCCATGATCAGTAAAGTATAGCAGGTTGAAGGTGAGGCAGTAACTCATAAAAGAAGACATTTCGAAATGGTCGCGCTATGTCATGAATTGGCGGAAGTTAGAATTCAAGGGCCATTGGATCGGGTCCCAGTGGCTCAGTGGTCTGCGAGCTCGACTTGCGACCAGAAGGTCCTGAGTTCGAACTCTGGTGATGGGTGCATACTGCTGAAGAGCTCCAAACGAGGGCGTAGGAAACAGCTGTCTTGTACTCCTTGTTGGTTTTCCAATGCTTCTTCAACTGATGTCAGCTCATGATGAAATCCTCCAAGCAATCAAACAAAAATCTCTACAAAATCAATACTTGAAAATATAAATAACACTGTACAGACTGAAGATCATTTCGTCGATAAAGAAAGTTTTCTACGCTGAGTACATGCCATAATATGGAGTGATAGTTCGGTATGTAATATTGTCAAATGAACATATATTAAAAATGTGCAGTCATTCAAAACATAAGATAAAGGAAGTGTGAATAGACGAGAGGGTGACATACTAATGTTTTTATAGTCAACAGAATGTAAGTTACACTTGAGGGGTGGGAGTGAGTTACATTCAGTGGTGTGCGAGGAAAATGATTACCACAAAATACATACAAACAAATATTGAATACAATGGGGAACACTGAATTGAATGTAAGTTCAAGCAAGGGCTGACAGATATCAAATGTAGTGATAAAACAAAGAGGTTAAACTGTGAACTGTAATAAAATACTAGAGACATAATAATAATAATAAGCTTAGTGTAAATTACAAAGCGTTGACACATAATAAAGGTAATAGTGAACTAGGTGAAAATGAGTATTTACACTTTTAATGGAGATTTTTAATTCATTGATATATATGTAATTATAAATAAAACTTTATGAGACAAGTTAGAGTTCAACTGATATAATGACATTAAATCAAGTTCACTGGGATTCCCACATGTCACTTCTAAAAAAGAATAATTGAACTGAGTGAAGATAAAAGCCATCATGAAGTGTTTTCCCACATGGTATAGCAAACGTTACTACAGATATTCTTTTTTATTCCTTCACGTTCCCAGGGGAAGATAGGGCTTCAAGCTAGAGGCTAGGTTGCTAGCCTTAGGCCCAACCTTCCCTCTTTACCAGTCTTACCACTGGCTTAGCGAGGTGAGGGGAGTGCGTCGGCTGGGAATCGAACCCCGGACCATGTGTATGGTCTGCGAGCGACTTAACCGCTGTGCCACCGACGCACACCACAGATATTCTAGCTGCACAAAAACGTTGATAAAACACTTATAAAACAGACAGACATAACATCGGATATCGTGATTAGAGCATTCAGCTAACTACCTGAAGTAATTCAACTCGTAACTGACCGCCTACATTCTACCTATACAAGTATACTTAGACAAAAGCATAGCAAGTTTGATCTGCGAAAGGTTATGTCCTCAGTCATCATAACAAAATGATATTTTCAACAATAGGTCATTGTCAAATATTGGTTTATTGTAGGGATTTTTGTTTGACTGGTTGGAGGATTTCATCATTAGCTGACATCAGTTAGAGAACCATTAGAAAACCAGATGGGAGTACTGCCAAACAGCTGTTTCCTCCGTCTTAGTTTTGCAGTCTTCGGCAGTGCGCACCCACCCCCAATGGTCCGAACCCAGGACCTTCTGGTTACAAGGCGAGCTAGCTCATAGAACATTAAGCCACTCTCTGGGACCAGATCCAATGGCTAGCGAGTCCACGAATTCTAATTTCTGCCAATGCACGACATAGCGTGACCATTTCGCAATATCTCCTCTGATGAGTTACTGCCTCAACCTGCTGTACCCCACTGGTCACGGCTTCCTGCTAGAACCCCCAGTTAACTTCCTGAATAGGGCCAGTCGCTAGTGAGCATCAGAATAATTTTCAAGTATTGGTTTTGTAGGAAATTCTGTTTGATTGCAAAAATCCATCTAAGATGGATCGATTAGCTGTGCATTTACTAAAACCATAAATTTTCAAGTGTGAGTCAAGGAATTCTCGCATAGTTTGAATTCATACCATACGGATGCCAAATCTTAATGATTATGTAGCCTTCAGTTATTTGTCAAGTAGTCATAGCAAAATACGTTTAGTTACGCCTAAAAGGCATAGCTGCCATCTTTAGTATTTCATATCACTACGTTTTTTTTGATTAAGAAGCATTGTAATGCTTGATTGAAGCTGATTATATCTGCAGAATACTTTTACCTTCGTTATATTGAATAGTTCGAGTTAACCATCAAAAAGCACTAGACCTGCTTATTAATTTTCATCAGTGACGCAACTTCAGCGAAGCTGATATCAGACTAGAGGCTTAAATCTACATTATATGGTGCTGCAAACAGAGATCTAGAGCTGCCCTCACTGATTGCTGCATACAATCCGATAACTCGTCACTAAAGATTAATCAGTCGGTTATGCTGTCTAGTCCTTAACAAGCGTTATAATACTGTCATACACCGACTGTCTCACAAGATTCGAATATTTTAGCAAGCCAGGGTTAGAACTACTTAACTTTTGCTGAAGCCACTGGAACTCGATTCAATAGCCCATGAGTTCTAACTTCTACGAATTCGTGATTTTATCGTGAATACTGGCCAGTGTCATCAGTGGGTATTTGTCCCTGTACCCAACCAATTGGACTGTAATGGTCACAACTTCTCACCACAACTCTAGGCAACCGGAAGGTGCTGAGTTCGAGTTCCAGAGGGTGAGTATGCTAATCTCTCTTTCTTCTTCTTCGAATTGCCAAGGATATTTTCAAGCGTGGATAAAAATCAACTTTATGCTACCTACGATTATTTATATTATAATAAAATACTGAAATTGTTTCACTTGAATTCCTCTTATCTAGTTATCCTGAAAACAGTACACTGTGCGCCTTTGTTGATCATTTTTTAGGGAGGATATTATCTGGTGCAGTACCTGGACCAATACACATGTGGTACATCTCTTCTAGTGGTTTCTTTATTCCAATGTTTCGCTATTGTTTATGTGTATGGTAAGTAAGTCTTCTCATTTTAAACACAAGTTCAGGGTATCATGATTGTATATCTGTTGGTAATAATGTATGCTTAAATTATATACCTGTAGCCAAAGTTATTGCCTCCGCTTTCGCCCGTCACATTAGAACCTAAAGTATTCGTTGAAATAAAGTTATATTTCAATATGGAAAAAATCCTCATTTAGAAATTCAGAAAGTAGAAGGATTGAGCTCAATCCTTCGGTTAGAGAACCACTGAAAACCAGCACTGGAGTACTGGACAGTTGTTTCACCCTAGTTTGAAAACCGTTGGCAGTACACACCTACTGAGGTTCAGATCCAGGACCCTCCTGTTACAAAGCAAGCTCGTATACCGTTCAGCTACCACTGGGACCCGATTCAATGGCCAGCCCACGAATTCTAACTTCTACCGATTCGTGATATAGCGCGATCACCAACCAATGTCATCGGTGGGACATCCATCCTCACACTTGACTGGATATACCCTACTGGTCACGACTTCTCACTACAACTCCAGAAAATTCCGTCCTGTAGCAAGTCACTAGTGAGCATCAGTTGATGTGTGTTGCCGATGATTCTCAAACTATGGTGAAACAGCTGTCCAGTACTCACAGCTGATTTTCAATGATTCTCTAACTGATATCAATCCGTTATCAACTCGTAAAAATAAAACTAATCCAAACACATCAACTACTGAAAATTAATAAAGTGTAATAAGTTGTATTCTATCGACTGGGAAGAGTAAAATAAATGACAAATTTTGTATCGACCTTGTGCTGAACACATATTCATCCCTTGCAAAATGTGACCCAGTTAATTCATCTTTTATGTAAACTCCAAATATGTTATCAGTATAAATTTCTGTGGATTTCAAAGTAGAGTTATTATTCCACTAGAAAAGGGTAAATATTATGATTTAAATAGGTGGTAAGTAGTTGCAGATTGTATTTCATTGATCTAAATTCTGCATGTAATGAGGTAGCGTAGTTAGAGGAAGCTTAATCTGTTCGTATGACAATGTAGACAAATTATGCCAGTTTGCACGGGGAATGTTTTATTGTAAAAACTAAATTCGTCAAAAATAATTACAAAACATCGTTTGAATGGGTTAAAGATTATGCGGTTCTACCAGGCTTTTGTCAACTTAAGAACACCGAAATCCTGGCCAACATAAACAATAGTGACCACAGAGATTACGGACGCACCAGTCACTTTCAACACATACCATTCGCAGGATTACAGAATCTATCGTATGTTATACATCAAAAAGTCGTTTATTTACCAGAAAAATTAATATTATTATTGTAGTATTATTATTGTTCCCTTTGGTTCCTAGTGGAACATAGGGCTTCAACTGCACGTTTCCACTTGTTTCTGTCTTCTGCTGTACTTTTCACCTGCATTCATGTTAGTCCATACTGTTTCAACTCTTCTTCACACGATCTCCTCCATGTCACCCTTGGACGTCCCACTCGCCGCTTCCCTTTCGGGTTCCACTCGAGCACTGGCCTGACGCGCGATGTCACCCAGCAGCCTCCTCAGCGAGTGTCCAATCCATCTCCACTTTCTCCTGCATATTTGTTGGGGGATTGGTTCTTGTTTTGTTTGTTAAAACAGTTTCTTGTTTGTGATTCTTTCCGGCCATCTGATCTTCAGTATAGAGCGAAGACAGTTGTTGATAAAGGTCTGCAACAGGCTGTTGGAAATATTCTTTGGGACCCTTCAAGTTTTTCATCCGTATAGAAGAACTGACTTGACGTTTGTATTGAAAATCCGAATTTTGTTGTTGTTGATGCTGAGTGACGAAGATTTCCAGACTGGATTCAGGTTGATTATCATAGAAAAATTAATGTAATAATAATAGTGGGACACATTAAAGACGACATCTTACCCTGACATATATGAAATGTACTTCCCACTTACGATGAAGTCTATGAGCTCTCGAGTTTCGATTTCACCTACATGAACAACGAAACACTCTCCTCCCATTTATTTATTCATAAGAAAAATACAGATAATTAATCATAATAAACGGCTGTCATCGCTCAACACTCAAGATCAAATGGCCATAAAAGATCAGCAGCATGGAGGGATCTCTGGGAACGAACCAACCCAGCAGAGACCAATTGTGCAACAAATATGCAAGAAGAAATGGAGTAAGGTGGATTAGCCATACTCTGAGAAAACAAACTATCAAATGAGTGACATCACACGCCAGGCCATCGCTGGAGTGGAACCCGAATTGGAATCGGAAAGTTGGCTGTCGGTGCGAGAGTGACATGGAGGATGTGCGTCGGTGGCACAGTGGTTAGGACTCTCGCCAACCATGCACATGGTCCGGGGTTCGATCCCCTGCCGGCGCACATCCGATATCTATGGTCGGCCTGCAAAATTGGGCTACCGGTATCACATGCTGAAAATTCCATACTTGTACCAAAAATACGGTATGGAATCAAGCTATAATAAAATATAAAAAAATATATATATAAAGAGGAGACGAAAGCATGTGGGCAGCCGTGAGGCCAGGTGAAAACGTAGGCAGAGAACCTAACGCAATGGAGACGTGTGGCTGAATCCCTATGCTCCTCAAGGAACTAAAGGGAATAATAATCATAATAAAAGACTGCAACTTTAATCCTTATCTTAACCCTAATCCTAAAACTAATCCTAACCACAACGCTAACCCCAACATGTTATAAACCCATTGTATAAACGTTCCTTTAAAAAAAGGAATCAGGATGAGACTGCACCTCTTTATTCATGCACAGCGTTCATTATGGCTCTGTAATAACAGGAGATTCTGTATTCTAACGAATGGCATGCGTTCAAGGTCTCTGATGCGTTCGCATTCCGCACGTTGGTCGCTATTCTTTAAGTTCACCAAAACCTTACTATTATATCCCATTGTTTTGTCTTCTTTTTATCAAGGTATATACAATCTCTCGGTAAATCTCGAAAGACAAACTGGTCAAAAGATTTACTTCACAACACGATTTATCTTAAAATTCTGTGTACCTCTATTGATCCTCTTTATGTTAGTGTTCAATTTCATTACTGCAGACATTTTGGAAACCAGTGTAGGCGGTCATGTCTATACATTCCCAAAATGGTCTTTAGTAAGTTTCTTCATGATATGAATTAAAATTCATAAAAGTAACATTTTATTTTTGATTACAGCTTCATTCCATACTGTATTTTCGGTGCATGTGTGGAATTTTCAGCGTGTGATATCGGTAGCCCAAATTTCGCAGGCCGACCATTGATATCAGCTGTTTGTCGGCAAGGGAATGAACCCTGGACAATGTGCATGGTCTGCGAGAGTCACATCCACTGTGCCACCGACGCACATGAACACTTCGTTCAAATTAATGCCTTCCGTGAACAAACTAAGATGTAGTTTATGAATAATTTTCACTGATTTATAGCTATGAAACAGTGTTTTACCTATTAGGTCATAATAAGAACAATCAACTTTATTCCAAAAACAGTACTTATAATACAGAATGGAATTCTCAGCATTTGTTACAATATTGCATCTAATTTACTCAAAATATAAATAAAATTAACCAGAGGAATTTGTTCACATTAACGATATAAAGTCAAAAATATTCGAATTACAAAATGAGAATAATACATTTAATAATAATAACAGTGGGTTTGTTTCAAACAGTATTGTCGATTCAGTTTGTAAAATTCAGCATGTTATAGATTAATGAATCTAAAGTTCTTTTGATATAGTACAGTGAGGGAAAATACAAAATTAACAGTTATTACAGAGCTTAAATGATGTTAACACTTTTGAGAAAATAAACAAATAAAAACGAAAAATTGAGAGGATTATAAACAAAAGAAGAACAATAACAATAAAGTTTGATGTTATAAGGGTGGAGAAAATGGTTTATTTACTAGTGCAAAGAAGGTTAGTCAGTTCATGCCTGACACTATTTTCATCACATAAAGTACTTGCCAAATATGGTATAGAGGAATTTTTATACGTACGTGCATACAATCTTCTGAAAAGACTTCTTGTTTCACCTGAGGAGACACAAGGTTGGAGCTGCGGGTAAAGTGGATGCTCACAGTTTGACAAAATTTCTTTAGCGAATTTGTTGCATGAAATCAGGTGCCTATCAATGACAATGTCAAAGATATGATTCAAAGGGATACCACTCGCTCTACTGACAGACAGTCTTCAGAGTTCCACGAAGTATGACACAGTCTTTTTAAAGCAATCCAGGAAAGAATAAGGGTGGAGAGTAAAGAAGAATAGGTAAGATACAAGTTGAGGAACTGTAAGAGGAGGAGGGGTTAAGTTATGCCTGAGTGCCTTAACTTCTTAATGTAAGAAGTCAGACGAAATATTCTTTTAGAAATCGCTAAGACATGGGAAGACCAGGATGGGTCAGAAGAAAGAATTAATCCGGGATAGTTAATTTCAGACTTGATTTCTATATCACTATCATCAAGAAGTTAAGTATCTTGGATTAATTCTTTCTTCTGGCCTCTCCTGGTTTCCCCATATCTTAGCGATTTCTAAAAGAATATTTCGTCTGACTTCTTACATTAAGAAGTTAAGGCACTCAGGCATAACTCAACCGACCACTTCTCCTACAGTTTGTCAACCCGTGCATCTTACCTATTCTTCTTTACTGTTCACCCTTATTCTTTTCTGGATGCCTTTTAAAGACTATGATATCATCATTGCCCCTTCTACAGTATATCATAAGCTCAAAAAATACTCCATGGGAACATGAGCATTATTGACTATTCTATTCGATTTTTGATTCACACTACAGCCTAGTGTCTTATACCATAGTCATATAACTGAAAAAGTGAAAATGTTTTATATTCATATATCTCTTTGTGTATGTAATAGCTAAGATTTGTTTAGATTGACAGATACACGAGTCTCTTCCAAAGTGTTTCATCAGTTTATACAGTGATTGAAACGTTATTGCCAGTGTAACGGCAGAAGGCAAGAGAATTGGTAACCGACGTGTATTAGGGAAAAAAGCGTCGCATTTATACATGTTAAACTAAATCAAATGTCTGCTAGGTCAGCAGAAAATAAGCGATTCTCATTGGTTGGCGATTCATCCGAGGTTAAATAAAGGGACAAAAAGTTGTCCAATGAGATTATTTCAAGACCACAACGTAAAATAAATCCAGATTTGAGAAACAAACACCTCTACCCATGTAGCCATTAACACAAAAAGTTGATCTCAATTTTGGCTGCTTCTTATCAATCTGCATCATACCACACCAGTATCTATTATTATTGCTTCTTTAGGTTCCTAGTGGAACATTAGGATTCAATGGCACATATCCACTTCGTCCCATTCTCTGAGATCCTTTTTGGCTGGCCCCAAGATTGCCCATAAGCCCTAATCTTCTCCGACTCACAAGATCTCCTCCATGTCATCTTTGGACTCCTAGGTAACTCAGGGTTCCCAATTTGGGTTCAACTCGAGTGACGGCCTGGCGTATGGAGTCATTCAGCGGTTTCCTCAGCATGCGTCCAATCCATCTCTGTTTTCTTCAGGAAATCTTTTGTGTAACAGGTTCTTGATTGCCTCGTTCCCAGAATTTCTTGTTGGTAATCCTTTGCGGCCGTTTGTTTTGTAAAATAAAGCAAAAGTTTGTTGAAAATGCCTTTTTGGCGATGCACGTATCAAGTTTCTGACCTGCATAGAACTGACTTAATACTGATGTTGAAAATCCGAATTTTATTCTTTACACTGAGTGCAGAATATTTTCAAACTGATTTCAGGATGATGAAGGTTTCTGGCTTACCTTCCTGATTCTGGCTGGTTTTGACACCCTAACCATCTAGTGTCATTTTGTCTCACCTATCCTACTGAAGAATAAGTCTGGTTTTATACTTTTCTTGTGCTTTAGAGTTTCGTATATTTTTGTGACATGTATGCATCTCCTGAAAATATTTCATTTACATTCTGTCATTTGTGTTATCGCCTTGCGTTTGTTAAATCAGTACTACTCGAAGCAAGTGAATCAATTTCAAAATAATACACTTTATTGTTTATTTTATAGACGACTAGTTGGTTTGTCCTTGCTGCCGGCCTTCTACCAATACCGATAAACATGATATGCCAATACTGGTTTGTGCGGAAACGTGCGAACACGTTTTATCTGCGAATTGCATTGCTTATCACACCTCCAGAAGAACAAGAAGAAGTCCTGAAAGAAGGAGTATGTCCTCGATTAAAAGTGAGTAGTGAAAAGAAAAAAATAATCTACAATGTTAGTTTGTTTATTAGATGTATCACACAGTCAGTGAAACAGTATTATTTACCGGATGACAATATGTCGAACAAAATTTATCGTTCATAATCATATCAGTTATAATCACACGACTTCAAAACTTGAGTTTCGTAGTTTTCTTTGTTCCCTCCTATTTGTCGTAGGAGTAATAGAATTTTCCAGATATCTGGGACAGGTATTGAGTCATTCTTATTACACGTGTTTGCAGTTGATTCGATAAACAAAGCTCACGTTATCAATCTCTCCCTCCACCCTGTGATATTAGATTTTAAAACTGTCATCTTATCCCATTCTATGATATGACTGTGTTGTGTGTAATTGCATGAAGTGAGTGCTATAGCTGAACTATTCTCTAGATTTCTTATCTTATTTGGGTCAACTAGTCTAGATTTTGCTAGGCTTTCATGCTCGGCTAGTCTGATTCACTGCACCTGTTCTACTACTTTGACCTATGTATTTGACCTGACAATCATCGCTGGCAGGGTATTAGATAAACTAAATTGTTTTGTTTAATTAGCTCCACAGGATCCTTTAACCAACAAAGCATGCTTCTAATTGAGTTTGTCGATGGTTTGAATGCCGGTCACTTTTATTCCTGCTTGTTAAGAATTCTGCGTAAGGTTTCCGAGGTTCCTTCTTTGTATGGAATTACTACTGATGATTTAGATTCCTTATTGTTGGTGTTGTCTTGCACATGTTTGACATGCATGTTGTCATTAATATTATTACTATTATTATCACTATCACTACTACCATTATTTATTTTATTTTTACATTTCCCTGAATACTTTCTGACTAATTTATCAGGGTAATTATTAGGTTTCAAAGCTTCTCTTATGTGCTTCACTTCCTGTCTTAGATTTCCGTTAGTACTACTTAGTTGTTGTGCTCTATTACTTAAACATTTCACCAATCCTATTTTCACTAACATAGGATGGGATGATCGGAAGTCCAAATATCTGTTTGAATGTGAGGGTTTCCTGTGAACACTAGTGTTTTTCAACTTCCCATCTGCTTTCCTTTTCACGCTACAATCTGAAATTGGAAAATCCCACTCCTGACTTTCCAATTCTTAAGTGAATTCAGTTACCTCCACCTTCGAGTTAATGTGTTCGAATAATCTACCTATATCCTGTGTTCTAAGTACAGTGAATGTGTCATCTACATACCTCCACCATACTTTTCAAGTGGGGCTTAGAGTTTCAATCGCTATATTTTCCCACTTATCCATGAATATATCTGCCACAACCCGGGATATGGGTGACCCCATGGCAACTCCCTCAGTTTGTTTGTATATTTTCCCTTGAAATTTAAATACTGTAGAAGTCAGGCATAGATGAACTCCCAGCATTATGTCCTCAAGTGGTGCTTTCGTCCTTAGTTAGAATTCTTGGTTAGAAATCAGTTCGTTTCTGACTGCTTCTATAGCTACATTTATTATCGGTATACAAGTCTATAAACTTACAATGTCAAAACTAACCATTTCCTCCTCACTATCTAATTTTAAATTATCTAATCTACGCTTTAGTTCATAAGAATTTGTTAGTCTAAATTCTGAGTGGCCTTTAAGGGGATGCATCTAATAAACAAACTAGTAGGGAATTACTTACTACAACAGTGCCCAAGTTTTACACATATATTAATATAATCTACAATGCTTTTCTGGTTAAATCTGGTTAAATAATTCGTATTCTAGGTGTCTAAAGGCAAAATGACTTGCATTTTCAAAATCTTTAATTCTCCAAGCCATCAGTCGAATGAAGTATTTTCCGACTAATGACATTCTTCGTAAGAGTTCAACACAAAGAAATATCAAATGAGTTCTGCAGAATCGAGTGGCCCTATTCTAAACAAAAATTAAATCTCGAAAAACTGTCTACTTAAAAGAACTTTAATGGGCTACTATAAAGCTTCTCTCTCTTATAAACATACAATGAGCACGTAGGAATATTCGGAACTGAAATTTCATGATAGTAAAAGTTTGCAGTCATTATTTCCATTTAACCCTATAATAAGAAATTTCTTTATTATATGATCTGATTAAAACTGAGAATTGATCATCAATTCGCGGAGAATTCGGGATTGAATTAGACCGTACCGACTATTTTTAATGCAGTCAAACAAAACCAATTTATTATAGTCCAGTAATCAGTTACAAGATAAACTCAACATGAATTATCCGATTTTTTACAAGAAAAGTTGTATCGCAATTAAATCAATAAAGAAAATAAGAAGGCAGCATAACAGTATTATTCAAACACGATTATTCAGGGTTTGAAAAAAATAGAATTTATAATATTCAGAAAAATGAATTTAAGATCAGTCGTTTAAAGGGAAATTATTGATAGCAAAACACGAAAATCTTCATTATTTTGCCTATCAAGTGGAATATAAGACTTCAAGCTTGAACTTTGAAGGTTTCAACAGTGGTTGTGTCGATTTTATGGGATGTGCCTGTTGGCCTCAGTGCTAACCTTCACTTTTTACCGGTGTATTGTGGTATGAACTCAAGAAACCGATCTTTGCATTCTACTATGTAGTTGACCAGAACTTATTTGAGTGTTCCAACGATACTAAAAAGACGGTTATTTGTGAAAACCTCTGAGGCACTATTCAACAATGACAATATTTCAAAACGTAAAAATTCCTCAACTACGCCGTTAGAAAGTCATACAGATCCAATAGTTTCTTCAGTATTATACACCTGAATTATGTAACCAAAAACAACCGTATGAAGTACCCGGGAATCAAGAAGAATATTCTCAACAAGGTGGAAGGGATCAAAACTCTGTCCATAAGAATCACACACTTGATAATTCCTACAGTTAGTCCAATATCAGAATCACCTTGATTCACTCAAACAAAATCTCAGTCTTAGGATAACACACTATCACTATCACCACACAACCAAAAAGGGAGGCATTAAAATTAGAGATTAAACAGAAACAAAGACAAATGGTAGGGATTCACTGAACATATGATATGCAAATGTCAGGACAACAACGATATACAGCCTAGGAGAGAAAAAAAGGATTTTCTATAGTTAGCTGGTAAGGATTAGTTTTGTTTTTGCGAGTTGATCACGGATTGATATCAGTTAGAGAACCATTAAAAACCAGCACTGGAGTACTGGACAGCTGTTTCATCCTAGTTTTGGGAATCATCTGCAGTACGCACCCAGTGATGCTCGCTAGTGACTTTCTACGAGACGAAGTTTCCTCGAGTTCTAGTGAGAAGTCGTGACCAGGGGGTTATGTGCAATTGGGAGGTAGGATGGATGTAATGACATTAGTCGCGCTAAAATCCTGAATTAGTGGAAGTAAGAATTCATGGGCTAGCCATTAGGTCGGGTCCCGGTGGTGGCTGAATGGTATACGAGCTTGCCTTGTAACCAGAAGGTCCAAGGTTCGAATCTCCTGTGATGGGTGGCGTACTGTCGATGATTCTCAAACCAGGAGGGGGTAAACAGCTGTCCAGTACTCCAGTGCTGGTTTTCAATGATTCTCTAACTGATATCAATCTGATATCAACTCGAAGAAAAACGGATTATAATTACAAAGTTAATTGGAATGTCTAAATAAGTGGCAATACTGCCAAAAGATTGTTCGGGAGGGATTCCCCAAACAATTGTTCCATCACACTTATACCCGGCTAAGCAAGTTTTAGGTGTGCGTTAGCCATAGAATCTAATCCATACCACGTGTTCGGTTAACTAGCATTCTATCTCTGAAAGAAAAGTGCACATTTCGAGTGTTAGTATATGCAAAACACTTTACTGCAATCCCGTGGTTAGTATTTCCACTCATCTTCTTATAGCATCTTGCTCTGTACACAGTTCAGGATGTATTCATTATCCTTTATATCCAGCAGGATTTCTAAAAAAACTCTCGATCACTCGACTAAAACTGATTCTTCTGCATATTCTCAATATTTTATATTGTCTTCCAACATTGTACATTCATCTTTGAATAACCCTGTTGCACGGAATTTTTCCTTTTTCCTTTATTGAGTTTACGGGAAACAGATTTCCTTAAAAGATTCGAATAATCCATGTTGAATTTGCTCTATAACTGAATCTTCAAGAGCCAGTTTGTAGGGATTTGATCTGTTTCGATTTCGATCATGGATTGATGTCAGACAGTGAGTGAATCACTAAAAACTACCAGAGATTACTGTACAGTTGTTTTCTCCTGATTTATGCCTCTTTATCAGCATATGACCACGATTCCACCACGGATGAAAGCCAGCATCTTCATGCTAGAGGACTAAAGGTCTGTGACACACATCCATGATCAACTGTTGTGCTAACGTCTCTATTATAATACTTAGTCATGCCTTCCTAAGTAAATGAGTTTTATATCTTTCGGGATCATATCACAGGTCAATTTTTCATTTCAAACCCATTTATCACTTCATTATTTAGAGAACAGGTAACCAACAGAGAAGAATAGTTGTGCCATTATTTGTAGTGCTTACTATTTGTGTGTTGTCGATTTATACAACTTGGTATGGATGTTAGCATAACGATTATATGCCAAAACAAAAGTGGTGCATCATGTATTTTATTATTCATTATTCAAGGGTCATGCAGTTGATTTTCGATTACAGTCATAATACTTAGAAACGTTGGCGATTCAGTGGTAGAATATACGCGAACCACTCTGGTGGTCTGAGGTTCGATTCCTGACCGACTCACCCTTAAACCTTGCTCAGCTTACTAGTCTACAGTAAACTCAGGAGTACAAGAAGGTTGGATGTGAAGCCAGTTACTTTAACGCACAAGCTAGTGAAACTTCAAGGCTGAAGCTGTAATGCTCCACTTTGAACTCAAAAGAATGACTCCCCATTGAGTTATATAAAATAAAAGACGTTCTGCGATGAGTTACCCCTTTCAGCGACATCATTCTCAAGCTGTACAATCGCATATTTATAGTAAATTTTCTTAG